GAATTAGCTTAAGTTGTATATGATTTTTATCAGAAATAAGTAATGGTGGAAAAATTTTTGCCAGTTTCAATATAAAATTCTGGATCTTAAAATCAGGGGTTGCTATTTTAATTTTAGAAAGAAGCAGACCTTATCCCAACAAAGGTAAAAAAAAGTCAAAGACAAAAATTGTAAAGGGTTCAATTCAACAAGAATGTCTTACGGAACGAAATATATGTTCACTCACCAGAGAGGCACCCAGATTTATAAAGCAAGTTTTTAGAGACATGTGAAGAGACTTAGATAACCACACAGTAATAGTGGGAAACAACACTTCTCTGAAAGTATTAGACGGATTATCAAGGCAGAAAACTAACAAAGATATTAAGAATCAAAACTTGACACTTGACTAAATGGACCTAATAGACATCCACAGAACTCTCCACCCAAAAACAATAGACTATACATTCTTCTCATCTCATCTGGACATGGCACATACTCTAAAATCAACCACACAATCAGGCAGAAAACAATTCTCTGCAGATTAGGAAAAAAAAAAAAAAGATGTTATACCAACCACACACCTGGACCACAGCACAACAAAAACAAAAGCAATGTTGAGAAAATAGCTTAAACCCATACAATTACATAGAAATTAAACAACTTGCTCCTGAGTGACTTGTGGGTAAATAGTGAAATTAAGGCAGAAATTAAGAAATTCTTATGCCCACATCAAAAAGTTAGAAATATTTCACATTAACAAGTTAACATCATAACTGGAAGAACCAGAGAAACAAGGGCAAACCAATCCCCAAAGCTTGCAGAAGATAAGAAATATCAAAAATCAGAGCTGAACTGAAGGAAATGGAGAGGGGAAAATCCATTCAAAAGCTCAATGACTCCAGAAGTTGGTTATTTGAAAGAATTAATATGATAGATGACTAGCTAGATTAATAAACAAAATAAAAAGAGAGAAAGTCCAAATGAAAATAATCTGAAAAGACAAAGAGGACCTTACACTGACCCCACAGAAATATATATATACATTTAGAAATATATTTAGAAATATATTTAGAAATATATATATATATATATTTATATATATATATTTAGAAAAAAATAATCCAGAGACTACTACAAACACCTTTAGGCACACAAGCTAGAAAACCCAGAAGAAATTGATACATTCCTCAAAACATACACCCTCCAAGACTGAATGAGAAAGAAATAAAATCCCTGAACAGATTAATAATGAGTTCTGAATTTAAATTAGTAATAAAGACCTATCAACTATATAAAGCCAAGGACCAAACAGATTCACTGCCCTTTCTACCAACTATATAAAGAATAGCTGATACCAATTTATACTAAAACCATTCCAAAAAATCGAGGAGGAGTGACTTCTTCCTAACTCATTTTATGAGGCCAGCATCATCCTTATCCCAAAACCTGGCAGAGATAAAACTAAATAAAAAGAAAAGAAAACTTCAGGTCCTTCAGGCCAATAGCTTGATGAATATAGATGCAAAAATACTCAATAAAATAATAGCAAACCAAATATAGCAGCACATTAAAAAGTTAATCCATCATAATAACTAGACTTTATCTCTGGGATGCAAAGTTACTTCAAAATATTGAAATTGGGCCAGGTGTGGTGGTTCACAGCTGTAATCCCAGCATTTTGGGAGGCTGAGGCAGGTGGATCACCTGAGGTGAGGAGTTCAACACTAGCCTGGCCAACATGGCAAAACCCCATCTCTACTAAAAATACAAAATTAACCAGACATGGTGGTGCATGTCTCTAGTCCCAGCTACTTGGAAAGGGAAGCTGAGGCAGAAGAATCACCTGAATCCAGGAGGAAGAGGTTGCAGTAAGCCAAGATTGCACGATTGCACTCCAGCCTGGGCAACAAGAGCAAAATTCCATCTCAAATAAATAAATAAATATATAAAATTTAGAAAAGCAATTCATAAATGTGATTCAACACATAAAAATAACTTAAAACAAAAATCACACAGTCGTTTCAATAGATACAAAAAAGCCTTTTCATTGAATTCAACATCCCTTCATGTTAAATCACTTAACACATCAGGCATTGAAAAACATGTTTCAAAATAGTAAGAGCAATCTTTGAAAAAGCCACTGGCAACATCATACTGAATGGGCAAAAGCTGGAAGCATTCCACCTGAGAAGTGAGACAAGAATCCCCTTATCACCACTCCTATTAAACATAGCTCTACAAGGCCTAGCCAGAACAATCAGATGAGAGAATGAAATAAAGGCATCAAATCAGAAAAGAGAACCTCAGACTACCCCTGCTTTCAGATAACATGATTCTATATCAAGAAAGCCCCATTGTCTCTGCCGAAGTGTTCCTTTATATGACAAACAACTTCAGAAAAGTTTCTGGATACAAAATCAATGTAGAAAAATCACTAGCATTCATATACATCAAGAACATCTAAGCTGAGACCAAATAAAAAATGCAATTCCACTCATAGTAGCTGCAAAAAGAATAAAATGCTAGGAATATGCTAACCAAGGAGGTGAAAAATCTCTACAAGGAGAATAACAAAACACTTCTCAAAGCAGTAAGAGATGACACAAACAAATGGAAAAACGTTCCATGCTCATGGATAGGAAAAAATAAATATTGTTAAAATGCCCATACTGCTCAAAGTAGTTTACAAATTGAATGCTGTTCCTACCAAATGACTAATGACATTCTTCACAGAATTATATATAAAAAACTATTTCAAAATTTATATGGAACCATGAAAGTTCTCGAATTGGCAAAGCAACCCTAAGCATAAGGAATAAAACAGGAGGCATTATACTACCTGACTTCAAACTATACCAAAAGGCTACAGTAACCAAAACAACATGGTACTGTACAAAAACAGACAAATAGACCAATGGAACAGAACTGAGAGTTCAGAAATAAAGCCACGCACCTACAATTATCTAATCTTTGAAAAGTCAATGAAAAATAAGCATTGGGGAAAGGACCCCCTATTGAATAAATGGTGCCAGAATAAGTGGCTAGCCATAAACAGAACATTGAAACTGGATCCCTTCCTTAGACTATATACAAAAATCATCCCAAGATGGATTAAAAACTTAAATTTAAACCTAAAACTAAAAAAATTCGTAGAAAATAAGATAGGAAATACCATTCTGGACATAGGAGCCAGCAAAAATTTCATGACAGAGACGACAAAATCAATTGCAATTGCAATAAAAATTGACAAATGGGACCTAATTAAATTAAAGAACTTCTGCACAGCAAACAAACAAATGAACAACAACAACAAAAAAAACTATCAACAGAATAAACAGACAATATACAGAATGGGAGAATGTATTTGCAAACCTCATCTGTCAGGCTTTATATCCAATACCTATAAGAATGTTAAATTTACAAGCAAAAAACTAACAACTCCATTAAAAAGTGGGTTAAGGACATGAACAAAACTTTTCAAAACATGACATACACACGGACAACAAGTATATTAGAAAATGCTCAGCATCACTAATCATTAGAGAAATGCAAATCAAAAACACAATGAAATACCATTTTACACCAGCCAGAATGGCTATTACTAAAAAGTCAAAAAATAACAGATGGTGCCAGGTTGCTGGGAAAAAGCAAAAGCATATACACTACTGATGGGAATGCAAATTAGTTCAGCCATGTAGAAAGCAGTTTGACGATTTCTCAGAACACTCCAAAAGAGTTACAATTCAAACCAGCAATCCCATGATTGGCTATATACACAAAGGAATATAAATTGTTCTACTATAAAGAAACATGCACATGCATGTTTATCACAGTATTGTTCACAATAACAAAAACATGGAATCAACCTAAATTCCCAACAACATTAGACTGGATTAAGAAAAATGTGGTACATACACACCATGGAATACCATGCAGTCATGAAAAAGAATGAGATCATATCATTTGCAGTAACATGGATGGAGTTAGAGGCCATTATCCTAAGCAAACTGATACAAGAACAGAAAATGAAATGTTCTAACTAATGAATGAAAACTAAATACTGAATACATGTGGACACCAAGAAGGGAACAACAGATACAGAAGCCTAGTTGAGGATGGAAGAAGGGAGAGGATAAAGATTGAGAAACTCTCTATCAGGTACTATCCTATTATCAATGTGAAGAAATAATCTGCACACCAAACCCTCATAACATGAAATCAGCCGTATAACAAACCTGCACATTTATACCTGAAACTGCAATAAAAGTGAAATAAAAATTCTAGATTTTGAGAAAATTGAAGACTGCATAAATGAAGATTATATCCTGACCTTTTGTTTTGCCTTGTTTTTCAATTGTCTTTTGAAAATTTTTTATAAATGTATGGGGTATAAATGCAATTTTGCTATATCAACATATTATAGTTGTCAAGTCAGAGGTTTTAGAGTACTTATCTTCTGAATAATGTACATCGTACTCAATAAGTAATTTCTCATCATCCATTCTCCTCCAGTCTCTTCACCTTGCAAGTTTCTATTGTCTATTATTATACTCTACGTCCACATGAACACATTTTTTAGCTCTTACTTATGAGAAAGAACATGCCATATTTGTCTTTTTGTGTCTGACTTACTTCACTTAAGGTAATAACCTCTAGCTTTATCCATGTTTCTATAAAATATGTGATATCATCTTTTATGGCTGAATAGTATTCAATGGTGTATAGATGCCACATTTTCTTTATCCAATCATTTGCTGATACTTAGGTTGATTCCCTATCTTTGCTATTGCAAATAGTGCTGCAATAAACACATGTGTGCAGATATCTTTTTGATATGTTAATTTTTTTTTCTTTGGGTAGATACTCAGCATTGGGATTGCTGAATCAAAGGGTAGATCTACTTTTGGTTTGTTGAAAAATTGCTATGCTATTTTCCAGACAGGCTGTACTAATTACAATCCCACCAACAGTGTATAAATATTCCCTTTTTTCTTTCATTCTTTTTTTTTTTTGTTCAGTCCCTGTAGAGCCTGCCAAAAATTGCCAATGCCGACTATACCTCAAGTCGTCATGGTGGGGTATTGGGAAAAGTTTTCATTTAGCAACAATCATACCTCAGATTAACTTCATTGGCTATGTCTGGTAAAATGATACCACATTGCAGTTTTACTTTTCATTTCCCTGATAATTAGTGATGCTGAGTCTTTTTCACATATCCCTTGGCCATTTGTATGTCTTTTTTTGAAAAATACCTATTCATGTCTCTTGCCTGCTTTTTCATGAAATTATGTCTTATTGTTGTTGTCGTTATTTGAATCCCATGCCCATTCTGGTTATTAGTTCCCTGTCAGATGCATTGCTTATAAATGTTTTCTTCCATTAAGCAGGCTGTCTGTTCACTCTGTTGATTATTTCTTTTGCTAGGCAGAAGCTTTTGTCTTTGAGAGTAAATAGGGCTCATTTTGGGTCTCATGGCTTATTTATTGGAGGTGGATTATGGAGACAAGTTTTTGACTGAAGAAAGAAATGATTCAGATATGATATCGTTTAGATACAATTTCAGTACTTGCTTCTCAGATTGGGTCTGCTTCCAAAATAATTTAATCTAGGGAAAAGAAAAAGTTAAATTACAGATGGCCTGTGATTTATTTCTGCCTTGGTCATAAGGATGAGGTGGATGTGGAATGTTCACGTCAGAAGGAAAAGAAGATTACAAAGTTTAATCTCCAACATGATAACTAGATGTATTAGCCAGTTTTCATACTGCTATAAAGAACTGCCCAAGACTGAGTAATTTATAAAATAAAAAGATTTAATTGACTCACAGTTCAGCATGGGTTGAGAGGACTCAGGAACCTTACAATCAACCTTACAGAAGGAGAAAGAGAAGCAACACCTTCTTCACAAGGCACCAGAAAGGAGAATGAATGTAGGAGCAACTATCAAACACTTATAAAACCATCAGATCTCACAAGACTCATTCACTATCACAAGAACAGCATGGGGGAAACTGCTCCCATGGTCCAGTTACCTCTAACTGGTCTCTCCCTTGACATGTGGGGATTATGGGGATTATAATTCAAGATGAGATACAGGTGGGGACACAAAGCCCATTGATATCACTAGATATTTAGGTAAATACACTAAGGTATATTAAGAAGAGAATCTTGGTTTTTATGTGTTTTTCAGTGTTTTCTTAGCTAGGGATTGCTTACAATTAACACTCCCAGAATTTGTGGATGTTTTAGACATAGATCCCTGGAGAATGTCACATACTAGGCCCTTTGATACACTAAACCTTATATGATATGACTCTATGGAGCATGACTGCTTTAATCTTGCATTTCACAGACAGCCTCAGAGAAATTAAGTAGCTTGCCTATTTTATGCATTTATTAAGTGCTAAAAGCATAATTTGAATTTCAACTGTTTGGTGCTTGAAGTGATGTTAGCAACCATTATACTATGATAATTCATAGAATAAGAAAAATGCAGGATATTTAGCTTTTTATAATTTACTTACTATTTTGACTATGTATTTAAGCCCTGTACTTGAGGTCTTGGTGTATTTTAGAAGCCCCATTTCTCTGAAATTAATACTAACTTTAACTGTTCTCAAAGTATAGGTTTTAAGGTCAGAAGGCTATATCATTTTTATTGGTTGAAGTTAAGTCTTTTTACCAAAACTGGTAAAATTGAGTGAAATATACTGTTTGCATATCCTCTGATATTTGTAGTATAAACTATACAACAATATCTTAGGAAAGTCTTTCTCCTCCTCCTCCTACTCCTCTCCTCTTGATTTTCTGAAACATTACCCTTGATTGGACTTCTGCAGTTAGATATTTGGAGGACAGAATGCCATGCCTTCTACTACAAAGGCCAGATAACTTATATATAGAATGCAAATCTGTATGTATAGATAATACAACTCTTAGTAAATTTAAGGGAAATGAAAACAACTCATGAAGAGGATGTTTCAGCATGTCTGCTTTCATTCATGTTTTAGAGATTTATATATTTTATCTCAATTTTCTCTATGACTGAACTATCCCTTTCTTGGTCCCCCCTAACAAATAGTTTTTATTTAGAAAATAAATTTTTATTCTAAAGTTTTTTAAGTCAGGAAAAAATGAACTATATTTTATAATTAGAAAGCATACTTAGTTAATTTTCTCACCTTTCTCTGTTGTCATTATCAGAGAAGCCAAGTCATTTAGATGGTCATTATTTCTGTTTCATAAGAAATTAATGTAAATACTTGAAAGTGAGTCCACTATTGTTGTGAAAATACCAGCTCATCAAAACCAACTGAAAACCAAAGCTGTGATAACTACCACCTGCATAATAAGAAGTAGAAGATTGTCTCTAATTCAGTCTCTGCTGGATTCCCTTTGAAATGGTCAGTTGTACTAAATATTCATAGCTTTCAGTAAGCTCCAAACAAAAAAACAGAATCAAATCTGCTGAACCCATTTTCATTACCATCTATACTCAGAGACATAAAGGTTAGAAGCTCTTCATGGTGACCATTAAATTAAAGTATTTAGAAAAAGATGACACTTGTAAGTATAACAGAAACAATAGAATGGAAAATAGAATTAATTTTAATAGCACATTGGCAGACACCCTGTCGGGTAATTTAAAGTCTAGAGAAACTAAAACATAATAATAATAATGCTTAGGCTAGAGCTAGTTTAATTACATGTCAACAGTTAGTTAATACCACAGAAACACTACTAGATCCATTTTTATTTGTTGTAGACCTGATTTTTAATATTTGCATAAAGATCAAATTTTTTATAATATATAGTAGGTACATTATTAAATATAGGCATTAGAAAGGCTTTATGTCAGTAGAAGAGAGAAATCATTTGGAGCTAAGAGTTAGTTAGCACTCCTGAACTGCCACTATTATAAGACTGGCAAGATTTTTGTGACATTTATTTTTCCCTGAGGAATTAAATGTCTCAGGAAAATATGCCAGGTAATATTTTGTGATAATTGGTTGTATTGAGGATAATGTCTTATATTTTAGGAATTTATAGAAATCTAAAGATTTTTACACTTAAAATATAAGAAATTAAATTGAGAGCATTATAGAGAAATGCATGGAACCAACAATTCATTAATAAATATCTCTGAATAGAATGTATAATTAAAAGGATTCTGAGGCATACAATTCTACTCTACAAGTTCTTACATGCACATATTCTAAGAGGTCTCTAATTACATCAAAGCTGTTAGAGGTAGTTTAAATAATGTTAACACAAATGCTCCATCTCTGGATTTATACCATGTTGATGTCACCTTATCACTGCCTTTAGTTGTATATATTTTTTGTATCGGGGAAGTAAATTTTAATCTGTTGCACACTGTCTCTCTTTTTCTACAGTTTGGAAACTTCTGGGGTGTAGAACACAATGTAATTTTCTGATTGCTGACACTGATAATATAATTAAGAAAATTCTTAGCTTGGACAATTCCTAACTGGATTACTCAGAAAAGCTGTCACACTTGACTGGACGAAAGCTCATATTAGAGGCAACACTTTTCCTTTAGACAAAAATCTAAAATTTGATAGAATAAGGAAAGCTTTTGAAATAAAAACACCTTTTATATTTTAGCTGACACTTTGAGTCTTATTCGCTGTCACTGAAATAGAATGAAATCGGTTAGAAATGTTTCCTTTCTCTTTTCCTTCACATTTGCTAGCCACACCCCTTTTAACACACAAGAGAATATGTGACTGAAAATGAAAGATGGACCACATACTGCAATGGGAACATTGTGGTAATACATATGAAATGGTGAGTAAAAATCTAATCTAGTGACATATATTGTGGAGAAAAGTTCTTGTTTACAGATAAGACAGTAAATATAAATATATTTGCTCTAAGACTCAGTCTGTGTAGTATACAACAGTTTATGAAAATAATCTACATATAAAATAATAAATTATTGATATAAAACAAATAATGTTTAATCCAAAAATATAAGTGAGACAAATGAGTATACGTTAGTTTACCCAGGACTTTTGCTGCTGTATTTACATGGTAATGTGTTTTGAATTGATTAACGAGAATTGAAGTAGATATGAAGGATTCTTACAATAATTTTAGGTGAAGGAAACATAGGGAATATTTTTATTCATTCATTCAGTTATTTATGCACTTAGTCAGTTAGCATGTCAGAAAAATTTTGAGCATCTAAGATGAGTATCTTTGTAGCCAGAGATGTTTGTTACTGGATAGGCAGGTTAAGAACTAACTAGTAATTGTTCCTGACCATGTGGAACCAAAAGTTCCACATAAATGCTATAAAATAAGTGTGCTCTAATAGGTGACTTTGGATTTAGATTTCAGACAAATCATATAGGAAGTCTGCTTGAGAAACAAATATTTAAAGCTAAGATTAGCAAAATGAGTAAGTACAAAGAGACCAATATATTATGTACCAAGAAATATCCATAATGTTTTACATGAGTTTTATCATTATCTCTCACTGCAAACCCAAGAGGTAGGCACTATAAAGCTCATATTTCATAAATAAGGGAAGGTAGGCACTGAGAGGTTAGCATTTGTTTGTGGTCACCTTGTCAGTAAGAGGCATTCATAGGATTCAAACCTTGGCAGGCAGACTCCAGAGTTTTTTCTTTTAACCACTTTATATGTACAAAGTTAGTTTTGTGAGTGCCCAAATATTCACTCCCATCTACAGATTAACGTAAGATATTGTGGTACCTATGAAAGAAAAATTAACCTGTACAATTTTAATTCTATATCCTTGGTCTTAAACCTTTCTAAGATCCTAGACCCATTGAAATATCTGGTGAATACTAACCACTTTCTCTTCAGAGATTTTGGTGCATATGTGTATGTACAAACATGTCTATGTATATTGTTTTATGTTACATTTCACAGTGTCTTCATACAGCCTAAATATCAAGTTACGAATGTAGAATTAAACAAAGTCTATCCATTTTTCATCCTTTCCCAATACTTTTAAAAAATCTATTCCAAATAATTTTGGTTTTAGGCACAAAATATTTTTTAGATAAATTGTCAGTAAATGGTTTAAAACATAGAGAATATTTTTCTATTAGCAGATTTTATAATCGGTATTTAAATAGCTCTCAAAGGCTATTCGATC